CACTGAATCATATGTCTTAATCTTTATCTTTCTTAAGGAAAATTCCTTAGCCCCCGGAAATGATTCATGGCTCAGCTATCCATGGGGGCGTTGCTGTGGGGTGGGAGTGGGGGTTTCCAAAGAATGTGGCTGAAGAGGGCGGGCTGTCTGCAAAGGTCCAAGGAGGCTTGTGATTTCCAATCACAAAGTCATCTGTAATTCTAAGGACACCCAAGGAGAAAGTGCAGTTTAGAGGTTTACCTGGGGCAGCAATGCTTGGGTGAAATAGTACAAGCCTATCATCTCAACTCTATGGAGGCTGAAGCAGGAGGATGGAGTTAAAGGCCAGCCTGGGCTACACATGCAAACCCTATCAAGGGATAACCCAAGATACATCAATGGCACAAACCTCCATGGTGGAGGCTGGCACAGCTTGGCCCTGCATCTGGAGTCATTCCACCTCTGGAGTGACGTTCAGGGGGCTATGGGCACAAATAAGAGGCCATTGAACATCTGTGGAAACTAGACATGAATCTGAGGCTAGGGAGGGCAGGATTCCCCTTTCACGTGTCTAGAGTATTGAGTTCCTCTATTCTAGAGGATACCACCAGCCTGTCTAACCCTTGATGGCATGGGAAGAGGAAAACAGGGACTTCCCTTTTCTTGAGACAAAGTTTTTCTGTATAGCCCTGCTTGTTCTGAAACTCACTTTATAGACCAGGCTGCCTTGAACTCACAGTGATCTGCCTGCCTCTGCCTCCTGAGTGCTGGGATTAAGGGCGTGTCCAGCACTTTCTGGCTCAGGGATCCCTGTTTGGCTGGCAGTTCTTTGCAGGGTAGTCAGGTCAATATGGAGGGTCTTCCACTTCCCAAATACAAGCTTGGCACACTGGGGAAGCTCCCCTGTGAATTTTCTAGGACAGGTCCCTTCAGATTCTTCCTGGCCACCCAAGAGACTTTAGAGATGATGTCCCCACCTAACATTTGTTTCTAGCACACAGTAGGGTTTGTTGCCCCTACTAGGTGGGAAGAGCGAGCTGGGCTTATGGTTTGGTAATGGTAGATACGGTGTTTCCATTGCCCTGATACTTGTATGTTGATTTCTCAGTATAGATGGCATTCAAGCCTGGCCTACCTGCTCATCATTGGGTAGTTGTGATGGGCATGGATCCCCCTCCCCGACTGTGCTGTCTGTGGGTTAGTGGGCTAGCAGGCTCTGGGGAAGAAAACCTCTCTCCCTCTCCCCCTCCCCCTCCCCCTTCCCTTCCTCCTCCCCCTCTCCCTCTCCCTCCCCCTCTCCCTCTCTGACCTAGGGACTGTTGAGACAGGATCTCACAATGTGGCCCTGTCTCTCCTAGGATTCATGGTAAAGACCTGGCTGGCCTTGAATTCACAGACCTCTAACTGCCTATACTTCCTACATTCTGAGTGAGATTAAAGGCATGTAATGCCAACCCCTGATGTTTTTTTTGTGTTTCAAATATTTACTTTTTTTACCTATGTGTCTGTGTGAGGCAGGGCATGTGTGTGCAGTGCCCACAGAGGCCAGAAGGGGGCGTTGGTTCCCCTGGAGCTGGAATTACATGCAGTGAGTACTGGGTGCTAGGAACTAAACCACGCTCCTCTGCAAGGGCCTCTACTCTTAACTGCTGCGCGGTCGGCTTGCTTTTCTGCTGTCTATAGGAGAAGCGGGGCTGAGATGCCCAGTCTGCCTGAGGCCTGTGGAGGTGGAGACCCTTTGGAGGCTCAGAGGTCATGTGAGATCCTTGACCTTAGAGTGCCTCTGACCTATGGGAATATTTCCCTGGGGTCACTGGGTAGAGCGTCCACTGCAGGACTGACAGTTTGTCATATGTCAGCAGCTCCTGAGGAGCCAGGATAGGGGGATGTGATGGGAGAGTTACTGCTTCCAGGTGGCCTCTTTGTCCTGGAATCCTCATGAGAGCGGTTAAGCAATTGGCTCCAGTCCACACCTGGGTAGGATGGAATGGAACAGAGGCCGTGGGCTCCCAGCACTGTGGTCAGCGTCCGTCCTCCACTGTCCCCTCCCAGGTGGCTCCTTGGCCTTGTAACCCATGCCGTGAGTGTCTGAAGTCTTTCTTTCTTTTTTTTCTTTTTTAACATATTTGTGTGTGGTGGGGGGTGGAGGCAGTTCATGTATCTGGAGGTCAGGGGACAGTTTTGTGGACGACAGCTCTCTCCTTCCACCTTTACATGGCTTCTAGGGATCTAACCCAGCTTGCCTGGTTTTAGTGGCAAGCACCTTTACTCACTGAACCATCTCGCCAGTCCCCCTCTGACCTGCTCTGCCTGAGTTCCACACATAACACATCCGTTCATTAGCAGTCTCAGAGCTAGGCAGTGGTGGCCACGCCTTTATTCTGAGCTCTGGGTTGACAGAGGCAGGCGGATCTTTGAGCTCCGGGCGGGCTTGGTCTATAGAGTGAATCCCAGGATAGCCAGGGCCACACAGAAAAACCCTGTTTGGAAACAAAGAAACAAAGTAGCAGTCTCCCTCCCCAATCACCACTTTTAAATCAGAGTTCCCAGCCCTGGGAAAAAAAACAGGAAGCCCCCCAGTACTTTGTCCTAGTTTTGTTTCTGATGCTGTGATACAATGCCCTGACAAGAAAAACAGCATAGTGGGAAAGGAGTTCTTAGCTGACAGTTCCAGGTTACAGATCATTCAGTAGGGAAGTGAAGATAGGAACTTAAAATGGCTGGTTACATCATAACCACAGCCAAGAGCAGAAGGAACTAATACATATGGGCTTGCTTGCTTGTGCTTAACTCAGCTTCCCTAGTCTTACACAGCTCAGGGCCTCCTACCTAGGGAATGGTGCCGCCCACACTGGGCTAGGTTTTTCTGCATCAATCAATTTATAAGACCATCCCCCACAGGCCAGCTCAGTGTAGACAATCACTCTCTGAGACTCTTCTCTTAGGTGATCCTAGGCGGCGAGAAGTTGACAGAGCTAGCTATCTCAGACTCCATGCCTGGGTCTGGGTTAGGGAGTGGTGGTCCTGGTCCTGTCTGTAGCCATGCTGAGACCTAGGCCAGGCATGAGGTCTCAGATTTCAGTGACCTGCTGGTGGGCTCTGGGAGGAGAACAAGACACTCTCTGCTAGCAGGTGCTAAAGTCCCCATGGGGTGGACTTTGGGCATCCCTAGCCAGCAGCTCTAGGGCTCCTTGAGGACACCTCCAGGGACAATCTAGATAGCTGGTCTCAGAGAAGACCCCAGGAGCAATGTGATCCCAAAATGGTTGTAACTGCCCCTTGTCTTTTGGTCCCTGGGGTGGTCCATGGTTCCCACATGCTCTCAATTGTTCTCTCTCTCTCTCTCTCTCTCTCTCTCTCTCTCTCTCTCTCTCTCTGGCATTGAAAGGGTTTGTTAAGGGACTAAACAGGACCGTGTGACACTCAGTGAATGGTCTATGCCAGCTTAAGATAATTTGTCAGGTTATGAGTCTTTGCACTTGGCCAGTATATACTGAACACCTGCTCTCTACCAGGCTCTGTTTTTGGGCCCAGAGCATGGACTTTAGATACAAGAGGGATAGGCAAACACATGATGAAGCATCCACCTGGAATAACATGAGTCACCGCAGGTTGAGGAAGCCTCCTGAGGTCCCTATCAGAGAAATGTATTTAGGGGGAAGAATGTTCTAGAAGAGGAATAAGAAGAACACAAGAATCTGATGAGGTTGGGAGGCCCTTAGCTGGGCTTCCAGTCTGTGGCTCCATCGTTTTTCCTGCTTCCCCCTCAGTTTTTCCATCAGCAAAATGGGAACAAACAAGCTTGTAGGTGGCTGTGGCAAGAATGTCCTGGAAGCATTCAGAATACTGTCTGGGGCTAGAGATGTGTCTCCATTGATAGAGTACTTGCCTAGCACGCAACCTGGTTGTAGGTTCAACTCCCAGCACTTCACAAGTGGATGTGATGGTGTAACGCCAGCACTCAGGAGGTAGAGGCAGGAGAGTCAGAAGTTCAAGGTCACCCTTGGTTATGTAGTAAGTTGGAGGCCTCGAGTTACAGGCATGCACTATCACCCCTGGTTTATGAAGTGCTGGGTTTCTGATGCAGGACCCGCACATAGTAGACAGGACTTCTTGCCTGATTTGTTTTGTTCTTTTCTTTTTGCTTGTGCGTTTGTTTAGCCGGTTTTGCTTTTGGTTGTGTTTGAGACAGCTTCTGACTATATATAGCCCAGATTAGCCTGGAACCCTCAATCTTCCTGCCTCAGCATCAGTTGTAGGATTACAGGAATGCCCCGCCCCCATCCGCCCCCCACCCCCGCCCCGTTCGACTTTTCCTCTGGTGTCCTAGACTGGCTTGGGATGTTCCGGCTTCCTCTCTCTTCTCGAGCTATGAGATGAGCTCTGAAGCACACACTGCTGGGAGTGTCATTGTCCCACGTGTTCCTGAGCAGACAGATATCAGAAGTCTGAGAGCCACTGGGGAGGGTGTGGCACCGTTTCCTACCGCCCTCCTCTCGCACTTTCCACCCGATCCCGTTTCAGTCTCTGCCTCGCGTGCTGACGTCACACCAGGACCGGTTTGGTCCCCGTGACCCGCACACCAAGCTTCTCTGGGGCAGTTCTGGAGGGCGCAGGGCTGCGAGGTAGGGGGCGCGCGGAGGGCAACAACAGGCGCGGGGACCGGATGGCCGGGGTGGGTGCGGGTGACGCTGCGGAGTGGGGGTCTCCAGCCAACGCAAGCCAGGGGGACGTCCGGGTGGTGGTGGCGGTGTGCTCCTGAGCCGGGGACCACGGGATGCACTCGATTATACTTGGGTAGAGGTTTGGGTGAGCCTCGGCGACTGGGATTTCATACATGTTACGCTGGTGGTCAGGTCCCAGACAGCTCGGAACTGAGTCCCAAGGGGCAGGGCGCCACTCCCCGCTAGCAGCTCCCCAGGTCCAGGCAACCGCCCTGTCTTCTTCAGATGGGGGTGATCAGGCTTTGGGAAAGCGCTTGAAGGAAGACACTTCCCAGCTAGGACCAGTGGTCTGTTGTGATGTCCCCGCAGAAGCAGGTGAAGTCTCTGGCTACAACCCCCTCCCCGCGCCCCCGCTGCTCCCTAGCCTGTGTCTGGGAGGGATGGGAGTGACCATCAAGTGATGTCACAGCTCCAGGAAGGTAAAGCCACCTGTCAGTCCAAACAGCTAACTGGTTCAGGTAGATCTGAACTTGTCTCAAGCATAGCTGCTTCACTGACTGGAGGGAAATTGGATTGGAATTTGGGGTTCTCAAGCAAAAGTGGGGTCTGCACGGGGCGGGGGGATTTCTCCCCATGTCGTCTACGCCGGTTCCCCTCCCCAACCCCTTTGAATCTTTCATTTCCTTCTCCCTGGGGCTGCTCAAACTGCCTTCAGGATTTGGCCCTCAGTAAATGAACCACTGCAGCACTTTGTGCAGTCTCCAGAAAAACAAGAAACAGAGCTGATTCTTGTCCAAAGGCCAGCCATCTGCTGGATGTTCTGATGCAGGCCTGAAATCCTAGCAATTGGGAGGCTGAGGCAGGAGGGTTGCTGCAAGTTTGAGTGCAGCCCGGAGCCACATGACAAATCCCTGCCTCATAATAAAAATATAAATAAGAGATATGAACAGGTTCTCTGGGAGTTGGGGGACCTTGGTCACCTTAGTCAGGCTGTCTCTACATGGAGTGACAGAGCCTCTCTGGGGAGCTAGAGAGTAAGCAAGGGCATGCATGCTCTCTCAGGCCTTCAGCAACACGGGACTGAGGAGAGGCAGCAGATGGAAGGCACTCTAGGTACAGCAGCAGGGGAGAAGAGGGTTTCTTTGGAGAGGGTGACACATGTCTCCTCACCGCATGGCGTTTGTCTAGAGCAGTGCTTCTCAGCCTTCCTAATACTGTGACCCTTTAGTACAGTCCCTCATGCTGTGGTGACCCCAACCAAAAAAATATTTTTTTGTTGCTACTTCATAACTGTAATTTTGCTATTCTCATGAATCGTAATGTAAATACATCTGATATGTAGGCTGCCTGATATGCTACCCCAAGGGAGTCGCACCCCACAGATTGAGAACCACTGGTCTGGAATCATACCAGGAGTTCCTGCCTCTCCCTGTGACCCACGACCAATCATTAGTGTTTCTGTGCCTCAGTTTCCCTACGTGAAACGGTAGTCTCTCTAGCTCTGTGATGTCTCAAGGTCTGGGACGCCGGCAGGCTACTGGACAGCTATTATCACAATCATTAGCAGAGGGTGGTGGCAGCCAGGACAGACACAGGACAGACAGCTAGGGGCCATCTTCAAGGTTTTTTCAGAGGAGGACTCAGCATGGCTGAGAGGATGGGTGGGAGGGGTGGGGCGGCCCCTCACAGCCCTGCAGCTTCTCCTGTGGCTGCTTCGGCTGCCAGGACCACTTCCTCCTGTGGCTTCAGTCCCTGCATGAAGTATGGTCTTATGAAGACTTGCCATGCAGGGTGGAAACACTGAGTTAGTAGCTGAGAGTGGGGACAGGAGTGTCCTCTAAGAAGCCCAGAGGGTGAATATGGCCACAAGTGCTGCCTGAGAGGAAGTGCTGTCTGTGTAGACATCCGGGCTACTAAGCCTCAGAGAGGGACATGAGGAGGGACAGAGGGTCTTGCTTACTCTGGTGTCCAAATTCAGATCTTGTCAAACCAACCTCCGGTCCAAGTTAGAAGGTGAGTCCTTTGGTCGTCACTATCCCCTCCCCTCATATCTCATCATGCTTTGTTGCCGTTTGTTTTTCTACCTGTCTTTCTTGTTTTTCTTTTATTTTCTTTTTTTGTGTGAGATAGGGTTTTACTGTATAGCAGAGGCTGCCTCGAACCCATGGTGATCCTCCTGCCTCAGCCACCCAAGTATTGGGTTTGTAGGTATGACATGTAGCATCCAGGGTCTTCTAGAGCTGGTGTGTCCTGTTTCTAAAAGCCCTGGGTAGGTGGGGGGGGGTCCCATGGTGCTGTACATGGAGTAGGTGCTAGGGTGTTTCCTGGTCTGGCTTCTTCCTGCCGAGTTTCTCTGAGCATGCATGAGGGGTTTCAGGGAGCAGACCTCGAACAGTGGTGACTGGGATGAACACAGCTGAACCATGGTAAAAAGAAAGCACTTGTCAACCGGGTGCATGCAACATGCATGTAACTTCAGCATGCAGGAGGCTAATGCAGGAGGGTCTTGGTTCAGGCCTGGACTGCATAGTGAGACCCTGTCTCACGGACTACAAACGTTTCTCATTTCCTGTGGCTTTGCCTGAGCAGGGGTGTTTGGCAGCAGCGGAGACTGTGACTAGTATGTGTGGTAAAAAGGAATGGGATACCCATGGGGAAGGCCCTACGGGTAGCAGACGTTCCGCAAGTCAGGATTAGAGGGAGGAGACGTCAGTAGTCAGGATCCAAGCAAGCTGTGCAACCTTTGAAATATGGTTTTGCCTTTCTGAGTTTATGATAACCGCGCTTTAAGATTGTTCTAGCGGTTGAGTGAAGATGGTCTTGGACTGGAGAGATAGCTCAGTGGATATTACACAACTCAGTGGGCAGGAATGGCAGCCCACATTTGTAACTGCAGCACTGCTGTGGGGAGGTGGAGAGAGGAGGCTCCTCAGAGCTCAGTCAGTCTGGCTGAATTAGTGAGCTGCAGGTTCAACGAGACACCATCTCAAAAAATAATGTGGCATGTGTTGAGGAGAATACACAACACTGACCTCTGGCTTCTGCATGTGCGTTGCCCAGACACACACAGAGGTGCACACGCAACAGACACAGACACACAGACACATACAGAGGCACACACAGACACACATACACTCAGATACACAGAGATGCATACAGACATACAGACACACACACAGACATACACTCAGGCACACACATAGACACATATACGCGCATATACACACAGACACACACACATGGACACACATACAGATACACACAGACACACACAGATACACAGACATACACTCAGAAACACACAGACACACACAAACATACACTCAGGCACACACTCAGACACACACATGGACACACACAGATACACAGATATACACTCAGGAACACACAGACACATATAGACACACACACACACACACACACCCATCTCACTCACAAAGTGATCTTGAGAGATTTTCTTCATTCCTTTCTTTTTTCCCCAGTGTTTTGAGACAGGGTTTCTCTGCGTAGCCCTGGCTGTCCTCGTTCTGAACTCACTCTGTAGACCAGGCTGGCCTGGAACTCAGAGGTCCACCTATCTCTGCCTCCTGAAAGCTGAGATTACAGGTATGTGCAACCACTTCCCAGCTTCTAAGCCCCTGCCTAGAATCCCCCAGTGAGGGGTTGGGGGTGTGGCTAAGAAATAGAATTTACTCAGCTTGCATCAGGTTCCATCCCTAGCACTGAAAGGAAGGAAGGAAGGAAGGATGGAAGGAAGAGAGACAAGCTGAAGTAGCTACACCAACTCAGAGGTCACTGTAAGACAGCATGGCTCCTGGGCTTAAGCTTGGGGTGCTGTGTTTGTGTGCTGGTCTGGAGCAGAGCACGGCGTCTAAGCAGGTGGTGTGACTGGCATCCAGAAACAGAAATAGGTTGGTGAGATGTGCAAGGAGTCAGGTGCTTAGCAGCCTGCAGGGCCTCCATGATGCACACTTCCTCCCCTCCTGACCATGCTGGGGCAGAGAAGGCAAGCAGCACTTTGCTTCCTGCAGAGTGTGCCTCCTCTGTGTCGTGTGTTCCCGCCTCAGTTGACCACTCTGCACTGAGATGCAAAAGGAAGCTCAAAGCAACCTGTTGCTGGAGCCAAGCATGACCTGGTCTTCCCACACAGATCTTCACTACCAGGGAGGGAGGACTCTGGTAGACAGTGAGTGCCACAGCGGGTAGTCCCTCTGCCTGTCTACCTGGAGGCTTGCCTCTAGTCCCAGCATGCTGGCTCCTGACTGTTAGAGCTGTCTGTATCTTAGACCATGTTCACACTCTGGAAAGCAGGGTCTGGGACACACTGGGATGTCTTCTTCCTCAGAAGACAGCTCCTGGGTGCACGCAGGGCTCCTGGAAGGAACCGATGGTTTGGGAGGAGGGTCTGGGTGGCTCTGTGAGGGGACAGGGTGTGTCTTGTGATTGTAAAAGGCAGGGGGAGCAGCCTCTGCCTTTCGTGAAGGAACCCTCCTAGCCTTGAAGGGTAGGTACCTCCTTATGTAGCCCTTGTTTCTGAGGGCTCAAAGCACAGTTGGAGTTCCATGGAGCCGCACCTCTGTGAGGACAGAAGGCACCTCCATGCTTAGTTCTGGGATGGGAAGATGGCTCAGTGGGCAGAACACAAGCAAGGGGATCTGAGTTTAGATCCCGAACACTCATGTGGAAGACTGAGGGGGCAGTCTGTGGCCTTGATGCCCAGTCAGTCTGCTTGGATTTTTAAGCTCCAGGTTCAGAGAGACTCTTCTTCCAAAAGTAAAGTGGACAACCATAGACTTGACGTTAACCTCTGCCCTCCAGCCCCCAACTCACGCTCGCAGGCACAGACGCACGCCTGTCCACACTCCTTCCTACTTGATTTGGGAAATGGTACCTTGTAGCGTAGAAGGGGTCATTTTGACACCTGTTTACAGGAGAACTGCCTCTTGTCTGACAGACAGTCGTGTGTGTGCTCAAAACAGTGACTGTGAGCCTCTTGTGTCCTCCGCAGGGGGTCAGCAGGCTTTTGCTCACCTTGCCGAGAAATTCCAGAAGAAGGCAGAATTGAGCCTCACAGTCTCTCAGTCCAGTCTCCATTTTCTGGGAGCCCTGAGAAGCTACCCTATAAGCCTGTGGGAAGGTTCAACAAGAGACCGTGGCTGTCCCCTGGGAGATTCATGGCCCGGAAAAGGAAATCAAAGGAGTGGCCAGGGGCCAAACACACGCCGTGGTCCAGTGCAGGCCGCCTGAGGAGTTCAGCTTCGGGCCCCGGGCCCTGAAGGATGCCCTGATCTCCTGCGATCTGGCTCTGCAGCAGCTCTATACCTCAGCCTTCACGCTGTCGGAGAGGCTCTTCCTGTCCGAAGCCTACAACCCTCACCGGACTCTCTTCAGCACACTGCTCATTCACTCAGCCTTTGACTGGCTCCTGAGCCGCCCCGAGGCCCCTGAGGATTTCGAGACCTTTCATGCTTCTCTGCAGCTCCGGAAGCAGAGCGTGGCCCGGAAACACATTTACCTGCAGCCCATAGGTAGGAGAGCTGGGATGGAGTCATTAGGACTCCTGGGGGTGTGGTTCAGTGGTAGAGCCCCTGCCTGGAATCCCCCAGTGAGGGGCTGGGGTGTGGTTCAGTGGTAGAGCCCTGCCCAACATCCCTCAGTGAGGGGCTGGGGTGTGGCTCAGTGGTAGAGCCCCTGCCTAGAATCCCCCAGTGAGGGGCTGGGGGTGTGGCTCAGTGTTAGAGCCCCTGCCTAGAATCCCCCAGTGAGGGGCTGGGATGTGGCTCACTGATAGAGCCCCTGCCTAGAATCCCCCAGTGAGGGTCTGGGGTGTGGCTCAGTGGTAGAGCCCCTGCCTAGAATCCCCCAGTGAGGGGCTGGGGTGTGGCTCAGTGGTAGAGCCCCTGCCTAGAATCTCCCAGTGAGGGGCTGGGGTGTGGCTCAGTGGTAGAGCACCTGCCCAGCATCCCCCAGTAAGAAACAGCCCAAGGCAGAACTAGCTTGAAGGAGATGGCCTGGTTTCAGCTAGGTACTTAGATTGCCAGAGTGGCTTGCTTTTTTAGCACCCTCCACCCTGGTCTATACTGGTTATTTAGGTGTGTGCTCACAGTCCTGGCCATGACTTGGTCATAGCACACACTGCAGTAAGCCCTGTGCTCGGTGCTCAGAGGAATACTCATTTTACATGCTGGAAAGCTGAGGTTGGAGATGTCTGGCTTGCCTGGTGGTAGAGCTGGATTCTGGAGGAGGTGGAGTTTGAAGGCAAATCTTAACTGGCCTCATGTCCTCTTAGAAGACACTGGACTGGGCGTGGAGGGGACTTGGGGTTCCCCAGAGAATCCCTCCAGGTCTCCTCATCAGGAAGAGACTGGTGAGTCAGAACAACCAGAGCTTAGAACACGGCTCAGCCAGAGATGCTAGGAAGGGAAGAGAGACAATCAGGTCCCTGTGTTCTCAGTATACCAAAGTTAGGAGGGCCACGCCTGGCCCTTATGGCTTCAGAATGAGGGATGGAGGGCACTGGGTTCTGAGACGTTGACCTGCTTTTTCTGGCCCTTCAGATGGCACCTCAGTGGTCAGCCTGAGGTTTTTTTATTTTTTTCTTTTCTTTAAAAAGTGATTTATTTATTTATTGTATGTATGTGAGTACACTGTTGCTCTCTTCAGACACACCATAAGAGGGCATCGGATCCCATTACAGATGGTTGTGAGCCACCTGTGGTTGCTGGGAACTGAACTCAGGCCCTCAGTATTTTTTGACCACTGAGCCGTCTCTTCAGTCCCTGGCTGGGTTTTCTGCAGCAGTTTCTTACTGCTGTTCAGGATCAGAGTGCTGTGGGCGCTGCAGTTTCTGCCGCACAGTACCCCACAGCCTGCAGACTGCTGGTGCCTGCTTTAGAGTCAGTCACTCCATCCTCGTCATTTGCTGGGTCTTGGTAGGAGGACTAGGCTGGACCTAGACCCTGTCTTCCTTCTCCCTCCCCTCCCCTCCCCTCCCCTCCCTCCCTCCCTCCTTCCCGCCCTCCCTCCTTCCGTCCATTCTTTATTTCTGATGTGTGTATTTAATGTGTATCTGTGTCTGCTCTTGTGAACTACATATGCCCTTAGAGGCCAGAAATGTCTGCTCCCCTTGGAGCTGGAGTTACAAGCAGTTGTAAGCTGCCCAGCATGGGTACGGGGAATTGAACTTGGGTCCTCTTCGAGAGTGGTATGTGCTCTTTACTGTTGAGCCATCTCTCCAGCCCTCTTACTATTTTTTTGATATGGGGGATTTTATGTAGTCTGGACTGGCCCTGAACTCATTATTTAGCCAAACATGACCTTGAACTCCTGGCCCTCCTGATCCTCCTGCCTCTACCTCCTGGGTCTTGGGATTATAGGTGTGCACCACCATGCCCAATTTTAAGGTGATGGGGATAAAATCCTGAGCCTCGTGCGTGCCCTGTAAACATTCTACCAATGGAGCCACATCCCCGGCCCCCAAGCCTGGGTTTCTAACAGCTTTGGAGACCCTGCAACCCCTGACCTGTTTCCATCCTAGATCTGTGCCCTGTCCAAGGATACTGTGCCCCTCCCTCTGGTGACTGTTCCCTGTCCCAGATGTCCTGACTTACCACTGTCAGCTGATGCCTCTCTGCCCTGGCCAGGCTGTGTTTCTCTTAGTTGTAGTGCTCGTTGGCTTCTACCTGTGCCGGCTACCCTTTTTTGGCCAGCTTCCATGCCTCTGCCTACCTGGAGTTATCACACGGGGTGCCCTCCCTGTTAGGAAGCTAGCTTGTTTCACCTGAGGGGCCAGTACTGGGCAGGAGGTCACATCAGGCTGATGGGCTCTTGTGCTGCTAGATCTGAGTGAGGGGCTGGCAGGATGCCCCCTGCTGGACCACCTTCAGAGCTGCGCAGAGGCGTTCTTCCTGGGCCTCCGAGTTAAGTGCCTGCCCTCAGTGGCTGCTGCCTCCATTAACTGCTGCTCAAGACCCAGTCGGGACACTGATGGGCTCCAGCTTCACACAGGTACGTGAGGCAGGCTGTTGGGGACAGCCTGGGGCTCTACTGTGCAGCAGAAGACCCTTCTGGAAGGAAAAGTTGGGAGGAAGGAGCCCTAGGAGACAGAAGGAACCTTTCTGATGTTTGTTGTCTATGCAGGCACACACACACACATGTGTGTGTGTGTGTTGTGTGTGTTGTATGTGTGTATGTGTGTGTTGTGTGTGTGTTGTATGTGTGTCTGTGTGTGTGTGTCTGTGTGTGCGTGTGTGTAAGTAAGCCAGAAAACAACCTTACATATCAGTCCTCAGTAGCTGTCCACCTTGTTTTATTAAGACAGGCTCTCACTGGTTTGGACCTTGTCAAGCTGGCTAAGCTGATTGGCCAGTGAATCCCAGGGATGCAGCTAGCTCTGCCTCCCCAGTGCTGGGATTAAAATCACAAACAACCGCGACTGATTTACTTATATAAAGTAAAATACTCTAAAAGGTTGTTTACTTTCTTCTATGTGTATGAGTGTTTGCCTGTGTATCTGCATGTCTGGTGCCTGTAGAGGGTCTTGGATTCCCCGCAACTGGAGTTTCTGTTTTTTTTTTTTTTTTTTTTTTTGGTTTTTCGAGACAGGGTTTCTCTGTGTAGTCCTGGCTGTCCTGGAACTCACTATGTAGACCAGGCTGGCCTCGAACTCAGAAATCCGCCTGCCTCTGCCTCCCAAGTGCTGGGATTAAAGGCGTGCGCCACCACCGCCCGGCCTGCAACTGGAGTTTCTGACTGGTGCGAGCTGCCGTGTAGGTGCTGGGAACAGAACCTGGGCACTCTGCAATGCTGAGCCATCTCCTATCCCCTCTCCTAGCTTTAAGACTAACGGTCATGTTTATTCGTGTGCATATTAATATGCTTTCGTCAGTTTTTGTGGATCACTGCAGAGCCACAGGCCAGAGGGCATTGTTGACCCCGGAACTGGAGTTACAGGAGATGTGACACTCTACCAGGACTCTGGGGCTCAGGCACACCCTCTGCTCCTCTCCTCCGTTGTGGGCTTTAAATACAGGAGCTCATGTAGACCAGGCTGGCTTTCACCTTGTGATCCTCCTGCCTCAGCTCCTGTCTTGGGTGCTGAGATTAACAGTGCCCAGAGACTTACTGGTTTGGAATATTATTAGCCCAAGGTTTTTTTGAAAAACATTTCCAGGCTAATCGTGGTCCTGGGTTAGTTTTCCCTCAGAAGGGTTTTCTCTTCCCCCTACACAGCCATGCATGATGAAGGCATGTTTCTCTTCTGGGCTGTTCTGTGACCCTTGGCAGTCTGCATCCTGGGTGTAGAACCCTATGGCATCAGGCAGAGTAGGGACCTGTCTCTAGGGTCATGTCCTCCCGTAGAAGGAGCCTGGCTTCACTGTACTGTGGGCCGGTCTTCTCCTGGCCCTGCTGTCTCAGCAGGTATCTGGTTCAGGTAAAATTCACTGAGGTCAGCCGAAGTAGCACAGAGATCCTAGCCTGCTTACTCAGGAGGCTAAGGCAGGAGGATTTAAAGTTGTAGGTTTGCCTGAGCTGCAAAGTAAGTTTGAGACCAGCTTAAGCTACATATGAAGACCTTGTTTTAAAAAGTAACAAGAGGATTGAGGTGGTAGAGCCCCTGCCTAGAATCCCCCAGTGAGGGGCTGGGTGTGGCTCAGTGGTAGAGCCCCTGGCTAGAATCCCCAGTGAGGGGCTGGGGTGTGGCTCAGTGGTAGAGCCCCTGCCTAGAATCCCCCAGTGAGGGGCTGGGGTGTGGCTCAGTGGTAGAGCCCCTGCCTAGAATCCCCAGTGAGGGGCTGGGGTGTGTCTCAGCAGTAGAGAATTTGTATAACACATTCAGAGCCCTGAAAACACTGAAAAAAATGTTTGTAGGGTAGTTCTGTTTACATCAAATATTTTGTCAAAATCAGTTTACTTCTTTTTTCTTTTACAGTTTTGAAACTTATATTTTTTATTTATTTATCTACTTATTTAATTTTGAGACTGGGTCTTAGTAGGTAGCCCTGGATGGCCTAGAGCTCACAGAGGTCGGCCTGCTTTCTGCCTTCAGAGAGCTGGGGTTAAAGGCCTGGGCAACCAGACTGGCCTTTTTTTTTTGTTTTTTTTTTGTTTTTTTTTTGTTTTTTTTGGTTTTTCGAGACAGGGTTTCTCTGTATAGCCCTGGCTGTCCTGGAACTTACTCTGTAGACCAGGCTGGCCTCGAACTCAGAAATCCGCCTGCCTCTGCCTCCCAAGTGCTGGGATTAAAGGTGTGTGCCACCACTGCCCGGCCCGAGACTGGGCTTTTTTAATTTATATTTTTTAACTGTTTTTTAGACTTTTACTTTTATAAATATTGTATTAAAATACATTATCAATATTTTATATTTTTATAATTTTTATATTATAAAAAGTGTTTTACTTTTATTTATGCTTTGTTTGCTTGTTTGTTTGTTTCTTTCAATGGATGGATGCTCTGTCGCATGTGCACCTGCACACCAGAAGAGGGCGTCAGATCCCTTTGTAGGTGGTTGTGAGTCGTTATGTAGGAATTGAACTCAGGACCTCTGGAAGAGCAGCCAGTGCTGTTAACCACTGAGCCATCTTTCCAGCCCTTTCCAACATGTTTGAAGTTATGGTTAGGCCATCTCTGCTGGACAGTGGTGCACCCACACGTCTGTAACCAGGAACCACATCACCTGCGCTTTGGACTGTGAACACTTCCCTCTGACAGCCCCTCTGCCCCTCACTCTGTCCCCCCGACTAGGATGGCCTTAGGCTGGTCACATAGCCCTGCGGTCTTACCCTCTCTGTCTCCCTGTGTCTCAGTCCTCTCCCACACTTGACATCCCAGCTCTCCATTACCCCCCACTCCCTGCATCTTTCCCTGTACGATCCCCACTTGCTCAAAGCCAGCCATCCACTCAGCAGGATGCAGCTGGGACACTCCCCAAAGATGCATGCCCTTGGCGGTACCCAGAAGTCCCTGAGCTCTCTCTCATGCTTGGCTCTGCTCTGGTGAGCTCTTTCGTCTCTGTACTGGGTAAAGATGGATTCTTAGCAGTGGCTGGCAGACCCAGATGCAGCCGCTTCCCTGTCTTGTGCTGTTCTCCAACTCGATCTTCAGAAAGGTGATCCCAGCCCCAGCGCCTTCTCTGCCGTTATCCACAGCAGACTTCCTTGGGCACCTCCTTTCTGTCTTGCCTCCTTTCCTCCTCAGCGGTCACTCCTCTGGCTTTCCAGGGCCTCACTGGCCACCTAGGTCTCCCTCTCCTCCCTCCTTCTGCCCTGAGTGGCTCAGACTCCTTGCTCTGACCTTGACTTTCTGGGCGATGCAGAGCCATGGTCCTCCTCACCCGTAATCACAGCTCGGGGGCCGCCTGCTGTTTGAGCCTAGGGACCCGGGTGTGGGTATTTTGGGGGTAACTGTTCAGGTGCCTGTTCCCTCCTCGGCTCTTTTGGCTGTGTGTATGTGTGTGTGAATGTGCACATGTGTGGGAGTGTGTGTGAGAGTGTATGAGTGTGTCTGAATGTGTGTCTGTGAGTGTGAGTGTGTTGTGTGAGAGTATGTGTGTGTGAATGTGTATGAGTGTGTGACTGTGAATGTGTGTGTTAGTGTGCACGAGAGTGTGTGACTATGTGAATATGTGTGTGAATGTGTGTGAGACTATTTGAATGTGTGTCTACATGCGTGAATTTAAGAGTGTATGAGTGTGTGTGAATATGTGTGTGAGTGTGTATATGTGTGTGCATATGTATGTGTGTGAGAGAGTACATGTGTGTATATGAGTGTGTGTGTGAGAGTGTATATGTATGAGAGATGTGTGTGTGTGTGTGTGCGAGAGAGAGAGAGAGAGAGAGAGAGAGAGAGAGAGAGAGAGAGAGAG